CTCGCCTCTTTACTTGTTAATTTTTAAGTTTTCTTTTAAATTAATTTTCCAAACTCTCTACTCCTTCAACTCTTAAACTTGTTTGCAAAACTATGTGAAAAAATCCTTTTCTTTTCTACTTGTCTGCTTAAAGTCACAATTGTAGCATGGCCGGGAACCACACCAGTGGATCTTGAGGGGTGCCTAACACTTTCCCCTCGAGATAATTTCTAGCCCTTACCCAACCTCTGGTTCTTCATCTCAATTTTTTCTTAAAGTGTCCTAATGCACTATAATCATTAGGTGGCGACTCTTCAACTTCTAAACCCAATTCTCGAAAGGGAATAGAGTTGTCCTCCCAAATGTCGTATACCCGATTTCGACCCGTAGAAAAAGGGGGCGTCGACAGTGATTCTAACTCATTTTCTTTCAATCTTTCATTACATTTCATAAATCTTCAACCTAAAATCTAAAGTTTTCGCAGTGGAATTGGGAATTTTTGGGTTGAAATTAGGGATTTGATAACTTGAGGATTTAGACCTCAAATTGAGGTTGGGTTTCAAAATCAATTACATATCAGGGCTCAGGGATGAATGGGTAATCGGGTTTTGGTCCGAATTTTGGGTTTGGATCAAGCTGGCCCGGGTGTTGACTTTTGTTGACTTTTTCAATAATGGCCTAAATTGAATTCTTATCGATCATGGGTGATTCCTAAGGCTTATTTTAAAACGTTTGGTTCGTAATTTGCTAGATATTGTTGGTTCAGAGGCGTGTTTGAAAGGCAAAGTTGTGATTGAGCTTTGAGTGGCCTTTGAAGCAAGGTAAGTGTTATGTTTAACCTTGACTTGAGGGAATTAGGAACCCTCGAACTTTGTGTTATGTGAATTCCATGTGAGCGGCGTATATGCAAGGTGACGAGTGCTTATACACCGCTGAATTATCTGTTTTCCCTGATTTATCCCTTTTCCTTAATTGTTTTCCCTCATATCTTAATTGTTACATCCTCTAAATGCTTTCCATGCTTAATTACTACATGTTAATTAATATTTTATTCTGTTAACCATGTTAGCTCTTTTCATAGTTCCCCTAATCCCTATTATTTGCTTAATTTAACTTGTTTATACTTTCTAACTGTAAATTGTTGGTTTGGTCTCGTTGTATAGTATTATTTGTGTAGATTCTATATTGAACAAGGTTCCTTTTCTTGCTTCAGTTTGGTATTTATTTATCATAAAGGCCATGTGATTTAGCCTGTTGATTTGATTGTATACTTTGATTATTTGGCACTGATATAGTAGGATCAGATTGCATGCCGCAATATGTATAATAAAGGAGGATTGATATAGTGGAATAAGGGTGAATACGTATGTACATTGGGATCGGGTTGCACGTCACAGCAGGTGGAATAAGGGTGGATTAATATGGTGAAATAAGGGTAAATTATGATATTGATATTGATATATAGTGGGATCGGGTTGTACGCCGCAACAAACACATATATTATTTACTGTTATTGATATTGTTATTGTTGAATAAGGGAGGATTATGTGTTGTTTGGTGGGATCGAGTTGCGCGCCGCAACAACCTATATGTTTCTATTTCTTGAGCTGCGTTATTTTTTGGTATTTTTATTTGAGCCGGTAGAGGTTGGTAATTTTGGATGACACTGGTTTATTTTCGAGGTCGTGGTTATCATTTCCTGTTGGCTGTTTAATTCTGTACCGTATTTCAATTATTCTGTCATTATTATAGACTGACTACAAATTTTACCATAGGTGACCCGCCTTAGCCTCGTCACTTCTTCGTCGAGGTTAGGCTTGGCACTTACCAGTACATGGGGTTGGTTGTAGTGATACTGCACTCTGCACATTGTGCAGATTTTGGAGACTGTCACAGCATCGGTTACTAGCGAGCTCAGATTGGACATTTGCAGAGACTTGAGGTACGGTTGTTCAGCGCCCGCAGCTCCTGGAGTCCCGATCATCTTTTCTTTTAGCTGTACAACTTCATTTAGACAACTTTGTACTTATTTCAAACCTTTATGTTTATTAATTTAGAAGCTCGTGCACTTGTGACACCATGTTCAGGGAATTATAATAGATGTTGGCTGTTTAGCTTCCGCATTTGTACTTAGAACATATATGTTATTTCGGTTCGTTATTAATGTTATCGTTTAAGCTGCTAAAAGAAGTAAATTATTCTAACATTGTCTTGCCTAGCAAGTAAAATGTTAGACGCCATTACGATCCCGATGGTGAAAATTTCGGGTCGTGACAATCCTTCCATCCCCCTCTTTCTTCACCTCGTCAGAATATTTTAGCCAAAAAAGTATCCTTTTTTTCATCCAATTTTTATTTCTCAAGCTTTCACTTTCCTCTTTATTTCTTTTCTCTGTTCATAAACTATCCCTTCCAATATCTCTCTCAATATTCAAATGGCTCTCAATCCTTAAAATTCTATTAAGAGCATTGTTCTAGATAGCTAATTTTCCTCGGCGAAGTTTTTTATTTCAAGCCAAAGATTTTTTTATTTATTAATAATTACTATATTTTTTGTTTTTGAAAAAGATTGTTCCGTCGAGATTTTACTAGTTTTGATATGCTCAAGCAGTGAAAAAAAATTCGAGCGAAAAAAGATTTTCCCATCGGGTGGAATTTTAAAGAGAAATATGAGGTCACTGGTAAATGGGTTTTTATGGAGATTTCTTTCTTTTGGATCGAGATCTTATTCTATTTATGGAAAAAGGAGTGATACTGGCCAGTTATGACCAGTAAAGAGGAGCGAGAGATGAGAGAAAAGAGGTGATTTATTGATGAGTGACTGGAAGTATTTATAGAGATGGTTTCTAGTAAAGCTTTTTGGTGGATATTCTCGATGAGTGATTGCTGATGACTTCTGAGGTGGAGAGAAGGTGAGTATTTTCTTGGTGGAAGACCTAGAGTGGTGGTTCGAACAGTGACAACTAATGATGAAAATTTATGAAATAATTTTGTGGAGCTGGAAAAGAACCTTGAATTTGCAGCAATGGTGGTATGTTAGCCGAGAAGGAGAAGACTAATTTTAGTGGGTTTATTTATTCATTTTTACAGATGAAAAATAAATACTGACATGGAGTCCACCGTGTCATTTTAGTTGCTGGGTCATGCACATTCGTTAGAGTTAAGGATGATTTTGCCTACTTTCTTAACGATAGGGATACATTTTGACGATAGTAGAACTACGGATAAACATGGATAATTTTCTAAAGTAGAGGGATAAATCTGATCTTTTTCCCTATAAATAACTGGGGCTAAAATCCATTGTTGAAGGGGGCTGGTTGCTTCACTATATGGATATTTCTAGGGATAGGATTTACTCTCTATTCACTGCAGGGTCACAACTCTATATTTATTGAGTTTATGTCCTATGTATTGACGGTATAAAAAATGTTTAAACAATCAGATCATTTATAAGTATATTTTTTAATAAATATTAATTAAATAGTAACTAATTAGCTATTACATTTATATTTATTAATAGGGTATAAAAATTATTAAACCATCAATTATTATATATAATTTAAATCCATACAAAAAAAATGCGCTTACGGAACTTTAGAGGTAGCAAATGTGCGGGGTTGGGCTGAAATTGAGCGGGTCAAAATGAGCTAAACTAATAAATGAGTTACTGCCTAACCCTACCCAAATGTTACTTGGACTAAAATGGGTTGGATCAAGATGGACTAAACAAGCAGTTATATCCTAACCCGCCCAACTTGACCCATTATTTTTACTATATGAATATCCTTTTATTTTTTCTTGTAAGACAACAAATGCCATGACAAATCTATACTTTCTTCATATCTGTTCTCTTTTATTTTAAATTTTCTTTTTGTAAGACATCATCAAAGTTCTTTCTGTATCTGAAATCACAACTTTTTCAAATATAGTAGTATTGAGCTTATTAATTATTATCATTGATAAAAAAATGGAAATCTTAGAGAATCATTTAATTTGCATGGTAAATTTTTAAGAATAATACTAATTCAATCTCCAACTGAATTTTCATTTCCAATTGTATTTGATTTTAAGTCAAACCAATATTTTACTCTTTAAGGATGAAACATCTCAAAGATAATAATCATATGAGATATAATTTTTCACTTTTAAAATTAAATTAATCCGATTTATTTTTAGATATTCGAAAGAGTATGATTTATTTGATTTAAAAATATATAAAAGAACAAACAAAATAATTCTATTTCATCGTGAGATTATAAATTAAAGTCCACCTTTCTGGATAAGGAATTACTCCTTTTATTTAATTGAACATCGGTGGAGGTTCACATATGTCCAGCTTTAAGAGACAATCTTAGGCACTCACATGGGTCATTGTTGGGCGCTATCGTGTAAAAATAGCACGGGCTAGTCAGTTTTTGGACTAGTCATTGAAAAATAGCGAGCATTTGCAAAGTTATTGAAAAATAGCCACTATTTTGCTGCAACACGGAAAGTTCCAGCATAATATATTGGAGATCGATGTGCCTGTGTATGAACATTCAGCATATTATGCTGGAACTCCAACATGCGGAAAGTTCCAGTATATTATACTGGAGAATGGAGCACCAGTGCTCCAATCTCCAGTGTATTATGCTGGACCGGTATATTATACTGGAGTTTCAGTATATTATGCTGGAGTATTTTTTCAAATTTTGAACAGTGTTTTCGTTCAGATTTATCTTTACATGAAAAATGGCTAAATTTCGATTACTTTTGAAATTGTGACTATTTTTGAATGACCACTTGTAAATCTGGCTATTTTTGAATTTCTCCCCAATATCGTGGGTCAATTTGGGCTAGTGATTTTTCATAGGTTACTTTGGGCATAGCCCAAATCAGCCCATAAACAAAATCACTCTTGCCCAAACCTATTAATACTTGGACGGGTTGGGCAGGTTACATGGGCTTGGGTCAATTTTGCCACCCTAGGGAACTTAACGGACTACCGAATGTAATGTAACGAACTTTCAAAATCACAGCACTTCCAAATCCGCAAAATCCGTTTAGTGTCTTCTCCTCCTCCAACATTGAACCGAAAATCCCACTGCAACTTTTTTTCTTCAGACTGAACATTAATTGAGCAAAAGAGAAATCAAAGCCTTAACTTCATAGAAAGGTTAGGGTTAGGGCTTTGATTTCGTTATTTCAAACAGATCAACACTGATTAGTTTTGGACCCTAATTATAGGCTCACACAAATCTAGACCTTGTATATGTGTTAAAAAATTTACAAAATAACTATAGATGTTTGTATGTGAATCCAGTTATTATTGCATAATATTAACTTGAGATTGTTGTAGAAACCCGTTAACTTCAAATCCTGGATTAGCGTCTGCCCGCTCCCCCTAGTGTAATTTTTGGATGTTTGATTTGGAGGCATAATTAAATGGCGAAGGCACGAGAGCACGAGCATGAAGAAGCGGTTACAGTGGAGGAAGAATTTGGATCGAGCTGCCAAACAAGTCCTCAAGACAAAAGAGAATTGGTTCGCGAACTTATTGGTGTGATTCAAACTGTAGGATCCTATGAAGAGTATAGGAAGTCACAGAGAGAGGAGTGTCATAACCTTGTTGAAAGATTGAAGCTTTTATTGCCTCTTTTGGTAGAGATTAGGGATTTTGATGGACAGATCCCTGAATCGGGTATCGAATGTTTGATGAAATTGAAGAAGGCATTCTCTTCTGCCAAAAAATTGTTAAAAACTTGCTATTGTGGCAGCAAAATTTACCTGGTAATAATTAACCCCCTTTTTTTCCAATTAATTATATCATCATTATATTAAAATCAACTCCGTTTTTGGGAGTGTTATGAATTGGGTGAATTTATTTGTTTTAGTTACATTTATGCAGGCCTTAGAAAGTGAAGCTGTTATGGGAAGATTTCATTCTGTGTATGAAAGATTAAGTCAGGCTCTGGAGGGCATGCCTTATGATGAACTTGGAATCTCAGATGAAGAGAAAGAACAGGTACATACCTGATATATACAATTTAAATCATGAATCATTTTTGTGCCGCTGTTTATACATGCTCGAGCTAAATCATTTTTGCGCGCTGCTTATACATACTTGAGCACAGCTGATGTATAATGTTAGATAGTGTATTTGGAGACCAGAGTATTGTATTTTCTGATTAGATTTTTCAGACATAACATTTTGCCCCGAAAAAAAACAGAAAACAAATTGTGTCTAACATTACACATAGTGAGGAGGTAATATCAGCTTGAGATGAGCTTAAATGGATCGACATGGACAGTGAGGATTCATATAACGTCACCCAAATTGTTGAGCTTTAGTTTTAGTTTGGCATACATATTTGCAAGAATGAAACTAAAATAGGGTCTAACATTTTCAAGGAAATGAATATTTTAGTACAAATGCATCTATATAATGTGCTCAAATGTGCAAAAAGGTTTACCTAGTTAACATGTTTTCAGGTGGAGTTACTGAGAGTGCAATTTAGAAGAGCTAAGACGCGAAATGATACTCAAGACATGGAACTCGCCATGGATCTGATTGTTGCACTGTCCACTAATTATGACAGGAACGTAGATAGCGCTAGCATAGACAGACTAGGACACAGGCTAGGTTTGCATACTGTTAAGGAACTAAGGGCAGAAACAATATCAGTACGAAAAGTGATTAGAGAAAGAAAAGGTCGCCATGCAGAAGGGACGCAAAAAATCATAGATCTTCTAAACAAATTCAGACGGTTTGCAGGGCTTGAAGAAACTGAAGCATTGGTGCCTAAAGATCACGAGAAATCGACTTCTTTGGCAATTCCAAATGAATTTCTCTGTCCAATCACATTAGAGATTATGACAGATCCAGTTATTGTCTCAACCGGGCAGGTGAGTTCACCACTTCCAAGATGAGATTTTTCTGTTCAAGCTCCCATACCTCAAAAGACAAAAAACTAGAATAGAATAAATACACAGAAGTTAAGTGTAAGATATGATAAGAGGCTGTTTTCATGTAATCTTCATCTGTTTGAAAATTCTCAAGTTAATCCCTATGTGTATTAGCAATTGAGTTGCTGAGATAAGTGGTAATAACTGTTTGTTTTTTCCATAATTTCATTTATTGTAGACATATGAAAGAGAGAACATACAGCAGTTGCTGGATTCCAATTGCCGAACATGTCCGAAAACGGGACAAAGCTTGGATCACTTGTCATTTACCCAAAATTTTGCTTTAAAGAACTTAATCCAGCAATGGTGTGAGAAGAACAATTTTCAACTTCCTAAAAAGCAGCCACCTCCAAAACCGGAGAGTCCCTCTGTTGAAAGTGAAGGAAAGTTTTTGTCCTTGATTCAAGATCTATCCTCTTGTCATTTAGAAGTTCAGAGAAAGGCTGTTACAGAAATCAGAATGCTTTCAAAAGAAAATCCAGAAAATAGAAGATCAATACTAGATAGTGGAGGAATCCCACCACTTGTGCAGCTACTGTCCTATCCAGATTCAAGAGTTCAGGAACATGCAGTGACGACGCTTTTGAACTTATCGATTGATGTAACAAATAAGAGACTTATATCTGAAGAAAAACCTATTCCAGCCATAATTGAGATACTGAAGAATGGAAATCTTGGTGCTAAAGAGAACTCTGCAGCAGCATTGTTTAGCTTATCTATGCTGGATGAAAACAAAGAAGCTATAGGTTCATTTAACGGCATCCCACCATTGATAGATTTGTTAAGAAATGGGACAATCAGAGGTAAGAAGGATGCGATAACTGCACTCTTCAATCTGTGTTTTAATGAGCAGAATGTGAGCTTGGCGACTGAAGCTGGGATTGTAGCACCGTTGTTTCAATTATTGGAGAAAAAAAACTTAGACATGGTTGATGAGGCCCTGTCTATACTGTTACTTCTTGCAACACATCAAGATGGAAGGCAAGAAATGGGAAAACTTTCTTTCATTGAAACACTAGTTAATCTGATCAGAGATGGCACTCCAAAGAACAAGGAATGTGCAGTGGCTATGCTTCATAGGTTAAGCATACATAATTCAAATCTTATGCTCGCGGCACTTCAGTATGGTGTGTATGAGCATTTAGTGGAGATAGCTGATAGTGGGACAGATAGGGGCCAAAGAAATGCTAAATCTTTGCTGCAGCTTATGAGTAAAGCAGAGCAGATTCCTTGACAATCCAAGTCAAAATGTATCTGTAAGATGCAACCATGTAATCTACCACATACTACAACAACTACCCAGCTGAATCCCACAAGTGGGGTCTGGGGAGGATAGTGTGTACGCAGACCTTACCCCTATTCCGGAGGAATAGAGATGCTGTTTCCGATAGACCATCGGCTCAAGAAAATGAGTAATCTACCACATACTAGTGATTAGCTTTACTTGCATACTTTTGTAAGAAATCAAGTTTTTTCTTTTCCCCATCTTGGGTAGTTTAGGATAGTGAATTCTGTTTAGTTTATGTTAATGCATGATCTCTTTTCCTATTAGTTTGAGTGCCAATGAAGAAAAGTTTGATTGATCTTCACCCACATTTTAGTGCATCATTGAGAGAGAACATGGGGAATGTTGCGGAAACCGAATGTATATAGTGTGAATGAGTCACAACTACTATACCAAAATTATGGCAGCCCCTAAATAATAAATAAGATAATAAGACAACAATAAAAAAGAACACCAGAATTTACGAGGTTCGGCCAATTTTGCCTACTTCCTCAGACACAACCAATATTTTATTCTACTCTAAAAATACAAGTGAAATAATACTAAAGAGAGAGAAGATACAAATGCCTTAAGAAGATGAGAAGGCAAATGAGAGGTGTGTTTTTAAATCCTAAACATTAGGCCTCCTTTTATAGGGAAAAATTCCCAACCAAAATTGTCAAATTCCCGATGTGAGACTTTTGACATCTTCAACAAATCTCCACCTTGGCAAAATTCCACATCTTCAATTTTCTCTCAATAACAAATTTT